TGTGTGTGTGTGTGTGTGTGTGTGTGTGTGTGTGTGTGTGTGTGTGTGGTGTGTGTTCACATGTACGAGTGTCAATGAGGGTGCGTGTGCACATATGTACATGTATGGAGATCAGAGAACAACCTTAGGTGTGATTCCTCAGGATCCATCTACCTGGTTTATTTCTGTGGCGTTTTTGTTTTTGTTTTTAGACAAAGTCTCTTGCTGGGTGGGACCAGGGAGCCCAGAGGCCCTCTCGTCTCAGGCCCATAACCTTGGCATTGCAAGCTCGTACCACCACACTTCTAACGTGGACACTGGGGATCAAACCCAGATCTTCACGGTTGCAGAGCAAGCAGTTTCCCAACTAAGCTGTCTGGTGCCTAGACTGTCTTTAAGCTACTTTTAGCATCACCAGAACACACAGTGTTTCTAAATTTTAGGGTGCCAGAGCCAATGGAAAGAAACGGGAATGATTCAGACATAGATGCCAGGCAAATAGGGTCCCAGCGCCCATGTTGTGTGGGGAAGAGGGGTTTCCTGTGATAGGGGTGATTCCAAGCGTAACGTCTCTAGCTTCTGCCCTAGCCGCAGCCCTCTGTTTGCCACGATGGAGTTGTTCATCTCCATCCAGCTGGGCCAATCAGAGTCCCCCTGTTGGGAAATTCAGAGTTGAGCTGAGACGTCACTTAAGAGTCACTGAAATTAAATTGAAGTCAAACAGACACAAACTGTTGGGAGGCCATGACACATGACATCTCCAGGTCTGACAACCCAGAGGTTGCTGGTGTGCCATAGAAGGTAAGCGTGGAGGAGCAGAGAAGCAGAGATAATGGAGGTAGAGATGGGTCAAGGAAACAGAGAGAGGAGGACGAGAATATACTGCTATCTGGGCGCCTGCCAGGGTTCTTGGTAGAGCCTGTTCTGTCCTTTTATGAGTTGGTTTATTAGGCTGTCAAGGGTCATCATCCTTCCTCAGCATCAAAACCATCCTGCCTATGAGATCAAGGGGCAAGCATTAGGGACAAGCGTGAAATACACGTCACCAGAGGCCAACCCAGCATAAGGAAGGGCACTCTTATAGGATTTTCAGTCATGGAATGGACCGTCTCTAGAGAGGATGCATTTGCTCTGAATTGGAAGGAACCAGAAGACTGGTAAATACGGCCTTGGAGATACAGAGGATGAGTCATCTGGAGGGGGTCTGGAGCGCAGATCGCTGAGGCCCCTTCTGCTCTCAGGTGGAGCTATTCGCTTCTCCTGTGACAGCTCTTACACTTCTGAGGAGACCCTCAACTCCCGGTGTATCTGAGTACTACTGGGTTATGTTTGGGTCAGATCTGAAGCCCAGCAGGAGATATATACATAGATGCTCTCACCATTGGGGGTAGTGTCTCTGTGGTCACACCAGCCACATGGCTTGCAAATCCTGGAATCCTGTCATCTCCTGTCTCAGTTCCCCAAGGCTGGGAGGTTGTCAAAAGCTGTTTCTGAATGAATCAGCGAAGCCCTGGAAACTCATGCCCTCCATGGGGAGACTGAGATCGCCATCAGTCCGGGGAGACTAAGGAACCTTCCCTGCCTCCAGCCTTGCTGGAAAGCCCCCGCCCCCCGCAAGAATGCCTTACTTCATGAAGTCCGGAGACTTGGCCATTGCATGCTCGAACTCGGAGAAGGAAAGCATGTTGTCGTTGTCCAGATCTGATTCGCTCAGGACCTGGAGGAAAGCAGGCTGGAGAAGAGCCTTGGGTCTGACAAGAGATGGGTCCCAAGAGAAGGGGAACAGACGGTCTGTGTAGAGGAACTGCCACGTGCCAGGGTGTTTCAGAGCCTCTGCCCCACAGAGAGGTGAAGGTGTGTGAGCTGAGGTCGGGATGGAGGAGGCTTCATGGGCTGACTTTCCCGGAAGGACTGTCCCCACGGAGCCCTCCATCAGCAGTGTGGCGGTAAGGACAGGAGGCCCCATTCACACTGTCAGCCAGACACAGGCATTGTAAGAAGCCTGAGTCAGGAGGTGTTACCACCCAGAACTGAGACACTCAGGGGTTCTTGTAGCCCGAGAGCACCTGGGCCTCGGCCCCATCTTAGGTTTTCAGGGCTGTCTCTATGCTTTGTTGCTAGGACGCCTGGGCACTGTGTTCCTAATGAGGAGCGTGGGAGAGGACATGTAATGTGTTCATCTGGTGCTAAATCGCTGGAGCCCAGCTGCCCTTGGTGATCCGTGTGTGTGTGTGTGTGTGTGTGTGTGTGTGTGTGTGTGTGTGTGTGCCGGGGTGTGCTCTCAGGTGGGAGGGGAGGATACATAGAAGATTCTCATTGGGAGGACAGACAGATGGGGCAGAGTCCTCCCACTGTGTGCCCACTTCTCGGGGCGCCCAACCCCGTGGCAGCTGCTCCAGGCTTTTCTCTGGATCCCTTCCAAAGAAGATGACCAGATGTCCGGGGGCTTTGGGTGGCCACCTGGACCCCCAGGCCCCACCCTCTGGCCTCCGGATACACACGTGTTGCGTGACATCCGTCAGCAGGTCCTCGGACACGTCGTCACTGTTCAGCAGTCTTAGCACCACCTTCTGGAGGTCCTCCTCATCAATGAAGCCGTTCTCATTGAAATCTGCAGAGGAGACGGAGGCTGAGTCCCTGGCCCGTGGACCGACTCCCATAAGTCTCTGGGAGGCCAAGTAGGGCCCACTTGCCCTGGGTGGGTCTAGAATCTGGGTCACGGGGGCCTGGCTGGCGTGAGGAGGTGGGGCATGCCACCGCAGAGCCAGCTGTAGACAATACTAACTCGGGCCACAATGATAGCAACAATTGTAAGCACGGAGCGCGTGCCTACTGTGTGCTCAGATGCGACCTACTTTTAAATTGCTGAATCCTCACCGTTTACCTTTTTATTGTCTTATTTTGCCAAGAAGACAACGAGGCTAAGGTGTGATGTGTCTTGTCCACAGGGCCGGGAAACGGGAGGGCAAAGTTCAAACCCACTTGGGCTGAAGTGGCCCCATGTCAACGTCCATGCTATGGGAATCTCCATTTCAGACGTCAGAAGCTGAGGCCCAGAGCCAGGCAGAGAGAGGAGTGGAAGGTGGCCTGGGTTTGGAACCCAAATCCTTGGGTATCCTCCCATGCTTCTGTCCCTGTGTAGTAGCTGCCCGAGTGTTCTAACTGGACATTGTCTCAGCTTCTCGGGACGTGTGACAGTAGTTCCTGCAGTTTGAAGTACTAATGGGCTGGCTTCAAGAACTCCGGCTGTGCCCTCATAGAGTCAGGGGCTGGAGCAATATCCCTACAGCTTGACATCCTCATTCTGAGGACAGTGCCCAGCACCAGCACAGAGCAGAGTCTCAGTGAATAAATGGATGAATGGACGCCCACTTGCACTTGATAAGTGACTAAATCCTTCCATTCAGACTCTGCAGGAGATCTGTGCTCTTTACCGCTCACAACTGCCTTCACTACAGAAAGCCACCAACCCAAACAGAACGCTGTGTTTCCCAGACTCCCTTGCCGCAAGAGGTGGCCAAATGGCTAAGCTCTGAAGGATGACACATGAGCAGAAGAGGGCAAATGACTTCTGGGAAGGTTTTTGAGACAATAAGGGAACCATGGGAATGGAAGGCAAAGCAACAGAAGAGATGATCCTGGATCCCTAATGTTGCAGAGTCTTAGAATCAGTGTGGACAACTACTTCTTGGCTTCTCCATATTCTATGTGTGTGTGTTGTGTGTGTGAGAGCGTGAAGTAGATATAATGTAGATATGTATGAAACATACACACACATATATACATATATAATCTCAGTTTGTTATCTGAACCTTAGTTTGTAAAATGGAAGCTATAGTGTCTCTACAATGTGATGGTTAAACAGGAAACACATGGCCAGCCCTTGTCATGAGTCTGGAATACAGAAGATTCCTATTAGCTGTAGCCAGGGCTTAATTCTCCATCACTTGCTTATTGTTAAGCACTGAAAATGAAAACCCGAGAGACTGTAGCATCCCACCTTGAAGAATGGCAGCTAGAGCTAGCAGGCTGTTAGTGAAACCAAGGCCCAGAGTGTGCTGGTACCATAGAGTCCTTCTATGGCAGAGCTAAGAAATGCCTGTCCCCAAAGGCAGTGTGTGTATGCAAAGTACAGCACACCCCTGATTGGATTTCTAGGTCCCTGGCTGGAGCCCTGGTCCCAGCTGCTCCTGGGTGCTCTCCCTGCATAACCCCTGCACACCACAGGAAGTGAGTCAAGGGCAGCAGGCGAAAGGGGTGGAGGCACCAGAAGCGTTGAGCGGCCACAGTGACACCACACTGCCGGTAAGAAACTCCGCAGCCTCTCCGCAAGCCCCTGCAGTGTCCCCGGGCATCCTGCTGGCCTGGCTCCCACATGCGGAGACTTCAGAAAATGACATGGCTTTGGTCCCAAGCCATCTGAAAACAGAATAATTTGCTAGAGTAAATGTAGTACTGGATGGTTCCTGTCCTTTGGGGGTGCAAGGGCAGAGCAGTCTGGGAAAGGGCTAGAGAGTCTGTGTGCTGGCTGGGTCCCAGTATATGCTGACCCAGCAGTCTTGGGACTCAGCCTGTGGTCAACCACCCAGGCCTGGGTGTGGGGGCTCTCAGTTGTTTCTCAACACCAAAAGAGCCTAGAGAACTGGTTAAGGTTCAGCCACCAATCCCTCTAAAACACACTTCCTCCAAAGCACCGCTGTAAGCAACAAACAAAAAAACCTCATCGTTTGCAGACCAAGGGCAAGCTTTGAATACAGGTTTCCTAGGCTTCCTCCACTGCCTCACCTAGCCACTGGCATCTCTGTGGTTGGGTCAGGGCTCAGGAAGGTGTGGCAAGACCTGCTACTTGTTTTCTGCCTGAGAATCCATAGCTGGTGCCAACTGGACCAGGAAGGTGTGGCCTTCTGGCTGGTGGTAAACCTTCCTGGAGGTATGAGGAGATGAGTCATCGATCACCCAGAGGCCAACGGGTTCCCGGGAGGTGAGTTCCAGGCCTCAAAGGTGCTCTAGCCCCACTGGAGTCTTAACCAGTAGCCATTCTCAAAACAGTTCTTGTTCAAGATGACACCGGCCCCACCGCTGCAGCCATGGGTGGCCACATGACATCATTCTGGCCCATGAAATATAAACTGAAGTGTCTTGGTCCAGTTCCAAGAAAGCTTGTGAAAAGAGAGTTGACTTATTTGTGTCTTTGGATGTAAATTTCATCTTTAGTCCTGCTCCAACCCCTCCCCCCTCCTTCCTCCCAACACACCACTTTCCCTGCCTAAAATAAAGATGAGAAGTCTATGGGCACAATGCCATTTTGTGATCATGAGGACAATAGGACGATAGATACGCTTCACGGACGAGGAAGCCTAGGGGACTCTGGGTCTTGCTTACTCTCTGGAGCCATCATTCTAGCCCTAGACTGCCTGACTACAGACGTTGGTTTTTAAACCAGGGACACTGCTACATGAAGCTGGGTGCAATCCTAACTGATGCAGTGAGCTGGAGCAGGAGCTTCCAAATCTGCTGCACGTCAGAAATACCCAGGGGGCTTTGTAAAAACCCAACGACCAGGATATACCATTACCTCAAGTTGTTTCTTGTTTGGTTTTTAACTCCCAGGTGCTTAGAGTGTGCAATCAGGTTTGGGAGGCAGGAGGCTAAAGCATGGCTTTCTAGACTTTTTGGGAGCAGGGTGGTAGTGCAGGGGAGGGTGTCTTGCAAGGGGGAGGGGTGCCAAGGGTCCTCATCTTTGGTACACTCCCTAGCAGCACCGATGTGCCTGGTCACTGAACTTCATCAGCTCAAGGGTATTGAGAGGTCTTTGAGTTTTTGCAAGGTTGACTACCATGACCATTGTCAACACTTTCTTCTCCTCTGTCCATCTCTTAGGCCTACTTAATTTCTCTTCTTCCTTCCTTATGGACCATCACTTTGGACTTACCGAGCAACCTCTATGTTCCAGGCACTAGACAGGAGGGTCCTGGAGTTCGGTCTCACACTGAGCAGACAGCTGCGTACACACAGGGATCTTCAGACGGAGAGCTCTGACTTGTCTGGGTGCACTGAGGCAGCCTGGGACCTGAGTCCTTTCTTTCTAATTGCACCAATGATTGCATGGAGAAGTTGAGCTTTTCTGCTTGGGGATCCTTGGGGAAGGGGAGTAACTGTGTGCGTCAGGGGCTTGGAGAGGAATGGAGGACACTGTTGGTGGCTGGGCTAGAGTGCTGTGGGGTGTCTGGTCTCTGACTTGGCCCCAATCACTCAGTCTGACCTCTAATTGAATGAATTAGAATTCTCATTTCTAAGCAAAGTTGGCCCTGTGTTTAGAAGATGCTCATGAGAGTCTACTCCCATGATGGGTTTGGGGGATTTTGTTTATTTGACTCTGGGAACCATGGGAAGACAGCAGAACACCCTTCTCTTCGTCTCTCCCTCTTTCCCCCTTCCTTCCTTCCCTCCCTCCCTCCCTCCCTTTCTTCCTTCCTTTTGTCAAGACAAAGTCTCATGAATCTCAGGCTGGCCTTGAACTCACTGTGTATGGGAGGATGACTTTGAACTCCTGCTTCTTCCAGCTTTCTTGCTTCAGTGCTGAGATTACAGGCATGTGCCACAGTACCCAGCTTTTTCTGTCTCTGAGAAGTGTGCTCATCTCTGGAGCTGTGTTCATTCATACGACTCTGACTTTTCTTTTGGCTGTAGGTGACCGAGCAAGGCTGATCATCCACTCCAAGGTATCATCAGACCATTGGCTTGGCTGAGCCATTTGGCACCTTCTGAAGGACTGAAAGGGAGAAGCAGATGCCTGTGGCCAGTTAGAGTATGATCAATGGGCCATGCAGACACCAGGGCAGTCATCTTCAGCCCATAGGTGCAGATGAGTAAAGCTCAGGTCTGAGAAACAAGAGGATTACTCAAGCATCCGTGTAGAGAAGCTGGCTGGCTTTCTCACAGCTCTACCCTTCTCTTATCCATACTTCTGTTAGTGGGTATGGTCCATACTTGTGAGTAGAGAAACCTCTCAGAGGCAGATGCCTGGAGCTGGGTTTGATGGTCCTTGCCTAGAATCTCAGTTCTCTAGAGGCAGAGGCAGAAACATCAGGAGTTCAAAGTAGTCTCAGCTACACAGTGAGTTTGGGGCCAGCCTGGGCTACATGAGCATGTGTCTCATGCCCCACCCCCGATAATCCACACCTCTTGGTGGTTTTGTATAACCCTGGTGCTGTTTGGTGTGGATGGAGACCATAACCTGCTTCCAGCCTACAGCATTTGGCCAGTGTGATGGGATGGAAGTCACTTTCACAGTCAGATTATGCCATGGAAGACTCCATTCTAACAGAAGGTGACTCAAGGGCTCTTCCTCCTGTTATCTTTGATGATAAATGGCCACATTGGGAAGGCTGTCTGGCAAGGGTCTGAGGTTAGCCAATTAAGCCAAGCCTGGACTCTTAGATGGCAGGTACCCCGAAACCATAAAGCATGGCACCTGAAGCCACGAGCTTTGGGTGATTTTTTTTTAACCCAACCCAGACA